CTCTATCTCCTGCCCATCAATGCAACTGCACGTGCATGATCACGTCCAGTTGCTTCTTGGTCATCAGCTTGTTCTTCCACTTCGTGACATCGCCCGCTTCTTCAAAATCATCTTACCTAAGGCAGTACTGCTAGAAATTGCCATTTCAGTGTTGATTTGAAAAGTTTTTTGTTTGAAATTGTTTAGGGTCCCAAACTATTGTTTTATGTTCATGAATTTTGAAAATTGAAATTTTTAAATAGCGTCGGATGTTGACATAGTCCATAGCAAAGTTGTAGTTCTTAATACAATCCAGAACTTTGTAGTTGAAAAGTTTTTGGTTTGAAGTTATTTATAGTCCCAAATTACAAGGTTTCAGCTTTTTATTAAGTTCATAGTTTTCAAAATTCAAAATTTAGAATTTCTAAATGGCCTTGAATATTGTTCATATAGTTAGCACCAAAGATTTAGTGGCCAACCTAATCTACATGTTTGTTGTTGATAAATTTTTGATTTGATGTTTTTTATTGTCTCAAATATTTGTATTATATTCACGTATTTTAAAATTCAATTTTTTGAATTTTTCAAAGAATCTTGGATGGAGACACTTCCTATACAAAAGCCATATTGCTTGGCAACATTTCAAACTTTATAGCTGAACTTTTTCATCTGGGTTTATTTAGTATCTAGAATTTTTAATACAAGATTACAAAATATTTGTAAAAAAGATAGAATCCTGTATATGCTCACAAGTGAGTGTGTCTAGTGGTAAGGAGTTGTTATTGCTGAGTTGTAGGCCATGGGTTTGAGTTCTAAGATTTTTTTTTTGTCTTTTGAGTTTTCTAGAAACCGTTAATCCATTTTCGGAGGCATGCATCTTAAGGTGTTCACCCCTGAAAACCGATTTTCAAAGGCGGGCATGCCGACCACTGCCTCTGTAAATGCTCATTTACAGTGACCTTTGGTTAGAGGCGGACGGCTTGCCTGCCTCTTAAAATAAAAAAATATTGCTCGCCTCTGAATTTTTTTTTATACTAGTGTATTACTTGCTAGACGAATAGCTTTAGGTGGTGAGATTTTGGGTCCATTTATGATATTTTTGTGTGGTTAATGTTGTAAAATTTCAGACATAATTGACGTTCTTACAACATATTTAAATAAAATAATTTTTTCTAGAACTCAGAGAAATGCCCTATATAAATGTGATACAAAAGCTGTTCGCTTGTATAAAAGAAATACAGTTACTCAGGCTCATATCAACATTAAACTTGTCAAGCATACGAAGGCATATAAAAAACATACACACAGTTATTTATTATGAATATATTATTGATTAAAAATGTTAAAATAAAAATGAATCGTTGGGGGTAGACCTTCGATGCACCCAAAATTAGTTTAGGGGTGGTTTCCATGTATATACACGAATATAGTGTCCTTATATATTTAATATGCCGAGGTGGCAACATTGAAGCATGGAGAGATAGTTTTGGAGGTTGTTTGCAAAGAGGTATGCATATATAAAACTTTCATAACAATTAATGTACTACAAAATGGTATAAAGACCCCTGAATACATAATATCATTGGACCACCATGAACAGTCTAGAGTCCATTGTGGCTACTCTAAATTGCCAGGTCAGTGGGTCGACCGAATAATGCCAACAGGCTAGCTAATTAGGTAGAATAACCTTACCTGAAACAAAGACTAATGCAGCAGGCGAATCCATCGTGGAATCATACACCCGGCCTTGTGATGCCTAGAGCTCATCCTGAATCAAGGCCCGATGCCGCCCATGTGGCACTCTCTAGCTGAGCTTGTCGTGTCGATCAGGCCGATGCTTGTGGCCTGATCCGCTTGGTCACGCCATTGCTGATGTTGTTTTCCTTCCTTACTTCCCCTCCATACATTTTTTTTCCTTCTAGAACAAAATGTATGCCTGATACCAAACACAGGCCCGGCCCAGGGAAAATGGATCTGAGCGAGGCTCAGCCCAAAGGAGACAGAGGATGCATCATGTGTGTAGTGTGCGCGCTGAAGCTATAGGCATGATGTATTTGCCACCTCTCGTAGTGTGTGACTAGTTTTTTTAACGATTTTTTAGGTGTGACTTACTCATATGGCAAATCATCACAGTTTTGTGTTTCGGGTATGACTCATGCATCATATTTCTTCAACTTAGACTACCTTAAATACCATGCATCATCTCATCTCTCTTCCATCCTCAGTGCAGTATATGCTTGGCAGTGTATACAGATTATCGGTTATATGAGATATTAGAGAAAAACAAATCATGCCAGCAGCATTAAATTTTCATTTGTTGGGCGTTAATGTTTTGTCTGGATTCTCTCAGCGAATTATTAGCTGTATTAGCTAAAAGTAACTCTGTAACAACTAATTCTTAGCTAGGTTTAGATATGATACTGTAGACAAAGGATTTTACTTATTTTTTAGCAGCTACCTGTTAATTCTAAGCCATCCAGGCCTGGTAGTGTTTTGACATTGTTAGGATCTTGTGCTTAGAGATTTTAATGAGGAAACTAATTATTGTTGTGTTCCGCTAACAGCCAGGCCAACTTGCTTGGTCGATCGCGATCGTGTCCTTTCCCGGCCGAGCACCACCACATGCATGCCGCCGTAGCTCTAGCGACGACGCCCCTCTTCCGGCCGTAGCTCCTGGCCGGGCCTCCCCAAGCCTTAGCCACCTGCCACTGCCTGCCTGCCGCTGCATGCATGCTAGCTGTTGCTGTTGCCACCACTACGGCAAGCAGCGGCATGGGAATGGGAGTGGGCAGATTTAGCTTTGCTATCATGGAACGCAGTTTTTTTTTTCACTTAGGAAAGAAGGAAAAAACTGGGTCCGCCACGTGACAACCAAGTCATTGTACGTGCCTTAGCTTTGTCCCAACAGCTAACTACCCATAGCAACTATAGCCAGAGAGCCTTAAAAATAGTTGTCGAACAAATAAAAATTCATAACTTCTTGAATGATCTCCGACAGAAGAAAAACTTTATATCAAATTGTATAGCTCGATGAGATCTAAAACTTTATGTAGTTGACAATTTTTTTATTTGAGACTATTTAGGAGTCTAAATATATATTTTAAGTTCTCGGATTTCAAATTTATTTTTTCAAAATTTTCAAACGACCTCCGATGCAAAATATCCTCTATACCAAAGTTGTAGTGCTTTGAGAAGATTTAAAAAACTTTGTAGTTGAAAATATTTTCATTTGAGATCGTTTATGTGACATAATATTCAATACAATAACCATATATCAATACAAAAGGATAGTATTTGCTCACAAGTTATTATGTGGTGTGGTGGTATGAGAGGCATGCGCAAAAAATCTAAAATTTAACATTGCGATGCTGCAGCTAAGCCTTTTGTGATTAAAATATCATAAACTGTGCTCTTAAATAATAGTAAACTTTCTTTAGAAATGTTTTGCTGAACTGTATTTTTTTAACCATCTCTAGAAATTGATCTCCAGGAGTGGTTGACTGAATAAAATCATCCCCAAAAATCAATTTATTAAGTGTTGTTGACTAAATCAACCATACCTAGAAATAGTTGTCGCGTAAATAAATTTTTAACCTTTTCAAATGAATTCCTATACACAAAATCCCCAACCATGAATCACCGAGGTGTAGCCATGTAGGTGTCCAGCTTTCGTGGCGAAGACGCACAAAATCAACAATCATGGATCATCGAGGTGTAGGTGTCGAGCTTTCGTGGCCAAGACCATTGTTTCTGACTCTATCCATACCAAAATTTTCACCAATGATCACCATTTTGACTGCATGTGATGTTATTTCGCAATCAAATCATGACACTGAAATAGGAGAAATAAATATCCAACAAACTAGGACTCTGTTTGGATGAACTAGGAGTATAGATGGCCAACGGCCCAAAGGGGGTTGGGCCGGCACGGCACGTCGTGCCTCCCGGGCCGTGCCTCTCTGGATCACAACCCTATGGGCCGTTTTTCGGGCTGGGCCAGCCCGAGAAGCACGGCACTCCCAGCAGGCCGGGCCAGCCCGTAGCTCGAGCAAGTGGCCGACGGGGGTAGAGAGGAGTTGATGCGGCGTCTGGTGAGGTGAGGATGTGGGCAATGGTGAGACGGCGGGGGCTGAGGAAGTGATGCCGCGGGCGAGGTCGCTGGCACAAGGCCGAGGACACAATGCCGCCCGCCTATAGGGGCGCGAACGGGCATTAGGCGGCGGAGCTCGGGTCTGGGAGCAGTGACCGCCGGCGGCACTCAGGATCTTGGGGGCTGGAACGCTCCGTCTCTCGTTGCCAGGATCTCGGGAGTCGGGAACGGGATCTCGAGGGTCGGGACTCGGGCGGGCGAAGTAGCAGGTGGGAGGCGGAGGGGTCGCGATTCGCAACTCGCTAGGAGTCGCGCGCCTACGCGAGGCCATGAGGCAAGCAGGTAGGGGCTGTGGGATTGGGAAATTTGGGATTAGGGTTAGGAGACAATATATATATATGCTAGCAATATGAGGTAGCGGGCCTTTGTCGGGCCGGTTGGAAAAATCAGGCCGTGCCGTGTCGCCCGACGTGCCTAGACAGCGGCCCAAGCATGGCCCTGCGCATCGGGCCGGGCTAGCCCGGGCCCGGCCACCATGGACCGTGCCGTGCTTGGGGCGGGCCAAAAAAGCGGGCTTCGTGCCGGGCTGCATGGCCATCTACGACTAGGTGTCTAGAACTAGTGATTAGTTAGGACTAGTGATTAACTAGCTAGTAGTTAGCTGACTAGTGATTAGTTCTCCTGTTTGATCCTTGGGCTAATAATCACTAGTTCTAACTAATCGTTAGTCCTAATTCATCCAAACAGGACCAAACAAGTAGACAAAAAAACTCATGCAGAACTTGACAACCTAGATATTTTTGTAGTAGCTATCCATATTTCATATTGTCGTACGTGCATGAGTGCTGGGTATTTTAAGAACAAGCATTTGCTGCACTGCACACAACACTCGTCAATCGACCAGGAAGCAGGGAGAACTAACCATCTATCCATGGCGGCTCTTCACTTGGTGCACGTAGTGTACCAGTTCATGCTGGCGGCCGCTACGCCTCTAGCAGAACGGCCACTTTGGTTCGTCGTCGTGCCTCTAATGCTAGTGCTATTGCCTGTCATCTGCCGACGCCTCCACCACCGTCCCAACGCCGGTGCCGACGAGAGGAAGCAGTTGAAGCCTCTCCTGCCGTCGCCTCCGGGGAGGCTGCCGGTCATCGGCCACCTGCACCTCATCGGCGACCTCCCACACGTCTCCCTCCGTGACCTCGCCACCAAACATGACCGTGGTGGCGGCCTCATGCTCCTCCAACTCGGCACCGTCCCCAATCTCGTCGTCTCCTCCCCGCACGCGGCGCAGGCGGTCCTCCGGGCGCACGACCACGTCTTCGCCTCGCGGCCGACGCCCAAGGTCTTGCACAACTTTCTGTACGGGTCGTCGACCATCGCCTTTGGACCCTACGGTGAGCACTGGCGTAAGGTTAGGAAGCTTGTCACCACGCGCCTCTTCACCGTCAAGAAGGTGAACTCGTTTCACCATGCCCGCCAAGAGGAGGTAGCTTATTATCATTATTATATGTATAGTAGGGTATGAATGAGAATGCATGAATTGCTATGAAATTAATGTTTCACTCATATTGTTACATATACTAATATGTATATACTAGGTGCGCCTGGTGATTGCCAAGCTGAAGAAGGCCATGGCTACAGGCATGGCAGTGGACATGAGCGAGACGATGAACACGTTCGCCAACGACATCATGTGCTGCGTGCTGTCGGGCAAGTTCTTCAGGGAAGACGGCCGGAACAAGACCTTCCGGGAGCTGATTGAGATGAATGTTGCCCTGTATGCAGGGTTTAGCCTAGAAAACTATTTCCCAGGGCTTGTGAATTCGCTAGGTATCTTCACCGGGTTGGTGAGCAGAAAGGCGGACGAGACGCATGAAAGATGGGACGACGTGCTTGAAAATATCATAAGCGACCATGAGAGGCGAGCTGAGCAAGAAGAGAGTGCAGACTTCGTTGACCAGATGCTCTGTGTTCAACAAGAGTACGGTATCACCAGAGATCATATCAAGGCCATCTTGATGGTGAGTAACTATTAGGTACCAATATCAACTTTTTCTTTAGAGATAAAAAATAGATCTATCGTAGATTGTGTCATTTTCGATTGACGTACTTATCCTAAATTACCCACACCCAGGACCTGTTTGATGCGGGCACGGGCACATCATACTTGACTCTTGAACTTACCATGGCTGAGCTCATGCGCCACCCTCATATCATGACCAAGCTACAAGCTGAGGTCAGGAACAAGACACCAAATGGACAGGAAATGGTCAGGGAAGAGGACCTATCTAGCATGGCCTATCTGAGAGCTGTCGTGAAGGAGACGCTAAGGTTACACCCACCTGCTCCACTGCTCTTGCCTTACCAATCTATGGTGGACTGTGACATCGATGGGTATACAATCCCCTCTCGAACTCGAGTCATCATCAACGCTTGGGCTGTCTGTAGACATGTAGAGTCGTGGGAGAAAGCAGAGGAGCTCATGCCGGAGAGGTTCATGGATGGTGGTAGGGCTGCAGCCGTCGACTTCAAGGGGAATGACTTCCAGTTCATACCATTTGGAGCTGGTCGAAGGATGTGCCCTGGCATCAACTTTGGGTTGGCCACTGTTGAGATCATGCTGGCAAACCTCATGTACTGTTTTGATTGGGGGCTGCCGGCTGGTATGGACAAGGAGGATATTGATATGACAGAGGTTTTTGGATTGACGGTTCACCGAAAGGAGAAGCTCATGCTCGTTCCGAAACTACCTGGAAGCGCTTGCTGCGCTTAATCTGAGGCAGGATGCTCTGTAAAAGATATGCCTAGTATGATTTTTGAAGTGTACGGCCTGCACGTGAATTTGTGTACCTGTTGTATGTATTTTGCGAGTTTAACTAGTTATATGCAGAGTCAAGAAAAAAAGTTGTATGCAGCTATGTATTGCACGCATTTCCCTTCAAATATATATGAAGCCACAGTATGGATTGTTCGAAGGTTGTGAACAATATAGTTTTTAGAAAAAGGAAGCTTCTAAGAACATCAAGATGCATCAAGATCATAAAACCGTTCTAAAAGTACTCTGGTCTCTCCAGAACTAAGATGATGTCTACAGTTTTAGCATAAAGGTAACACACCAAAAATAAAAAAGTCAAACAGGTAGTGCTAAGAAGGCTAATGCCGGCAACCGGTTCCTTACTCCATGTCATACACAACCTATGTGATGTCCAAAAACATCCAACTCTTCATATCATACAAAGCCCATATGATGATTCAGAGACATTCATGGGCTCTCCTCCCTTGTACAGAAGTATCTTCCATTAACACCTCATTTTTTTTTCACTGGCCACGGAATGAAAGCAGGTGCTACTACCGAGCAGTTTGTGGGCATATATAATTTCATGTTTGTCTCTTCGTTCATTTTCTAACACAATAGGGATAATATATATATACTACGTAGTAACTATGCAGTTTTAGTAAAACTTATCAATTACAGACCTACATGTTTTATGACTCATATATATACATAGATTTTTCCATTGCATATCACATCTGTGTATCATTAATATGCATTACTTGACTCCTTAATTAAAACTGTGGTGGCTCTTGTTGCGGCCCCATGGCTTATGTTGTCATTTGATTTTCATAATTTAATCTTGTTGATTGGTATATATTTTTTAATCCTTAAATTAATTTGAAATTATTGTGCATCTGTCATGAATATTTACTGATTTAGAGGATTCTATTAGCAACCTATTTACTGATAAAGTACGCTGACCCTAGAACCATGATCAATATTACATATAAATAAGTAAAATAATGGGAAGTAAAAAATTCTGAAACATAAACCAACATAAACATAGCCATATTAATATAAGCATGCGAGGATCTTGGTCGATCTTAACCATAAGCATGACTGATATATCAGTTTTTAAACACACTGCAGGTATTGCACACTTCACCAACAATTGACATGGAAATAGTTTGCATCAGAAGTTAAGCCAAAGAATAAAAATGAAGTAAACCACTGACGACAAGTGGAGATACTAAAAAGGACACGATCTCAAAAGCTACGGCGGCAAGCATGTGGTGCTCGGCCGCCGGGAAAAGGACACGATCTCATTGGGAAAGGCATCACAAGACGGCTCATCGAGCATGTTCTCCGTACGTGGAACTAGCTCATCCTGAACCAAGCCCGATGCCGCCCGTGTGGCGCTTTCTAGCTGAGCTTGTCGTGTCGATCAGCACGTATAGGCGGAGCCACCACTCGGGCGAGCTAGGGCGGCCACCCTAGGTTCCTCTGGCCGGCCACCCATTCACACCCCACAAAGCTATCAGCCGGTTAAACTCAGTAGCACCTCATCTTTTCCTCTCAATCTCCATGCACTACTAAAAAAGGATTTGCAGCAATGCCTACTTTTTTTAGGTGCAGCTCTATATTAAACTGTCCCTACAAATGATGTCCAATTGAGCCGCCCCTACAAATAGACGCTGAATAATAAAAATTAAACACTGAAATTCGAATTTTTTCAAAAAACCTCTTATGAAGAAATAACCAAAATAAAAGTTGTATATTTCAAAAAGTTATGAAACTTTATTGTTTACAATTTTTTCATTTGAAATTATTTACTACTTCAAAATGATCGGCAGAGTTCAGCGCCTCGGCAACAATGGGTAACTAGCGGCGCCTTCGTTTTTGTGCATGTGGGTGATTGGATAAGAATGAATCGAAGAGGCATGGGCTGGCGTGGACTGTGTTTGGCATTGGGCTGTGTATAGACAGTTTGAGACTAAAGGCCAATTGGCCACTATAATGTTTCAAACTAGGGCCCCCAAGACGGGCTCAGCAGGCCAGCGGGAGCCCAGAACCGAGCCTCGGCCAGACGCCAAAGGCACCCTGCACAGGGCAGGGAGGTGCACGTCTAGGGGGTAGCGCCGCCGCTACCCTCGATCTCCCGACATCAAGGAGATCCTAAATAAAATAGGAAAGTCCAAAAAAAGTAGGAAAATAAATAGAGTATTTCTTACATAAAATAGATTAAATTTTGTTAGAAAGGATAAATAGTTACTTATTATGAAAGTAGCCCGAATCTATAAGGGCTCTGTCCGTAAAATTAGATTGGTTAAGGACCAAGTCTTCCGGGACTATAAATAAATGAGCCATATAACCATTTAATCTTAAACAAGAGAAATAATATATTCTTCAGTCCATTTTCTCTCCGCCGCCACCCGTCCCTCTCCTTTACCCTGCGCCTCTTACGCCCTTTGCCCTTGCACGCTGCCGCCGCCAGAGCACGCCGCCCCATGCCCGCCAGCGCCTGACAGCAGTAGCGCCGTGGCCTCGCCACCGTCGCTCCACCGCCCCTAGGCCGTCGGCAACGGTCCCCGGAAATGACCATCACACATGGTATCTGGAGACCGGATCGATCCGATCGCCACCACCACCTTGATCAACGAGATGAAGGCGGGGCACGAGTTCGCCACAACCTACAACCAACAATTGACGAGGTGAAAGAATTCGTTGCCAAGGCCAACTCCCTCTTAGACAAGAGCTCTCCATCGACAATAGATCCAATTCAGCCGGAGGCGACCACAACAAGAATACCAATTGCACCAGAAGGAAGAACACAACCAACAACAATGTCAACATCAAGCGTGCTCGACACCAAAACAACCCCAGACCTTCTCCCTACATATTAAAATATGGGGTCTTCAAAGGAGATCTACTTGACCACAACAAACCAGGATCGCAAAATCGCCGCCAAGGATCTCCAGGAGGAAACCAACTGTGCAAAGGAGACAACTAGGCGTGCTTTCATCCAAGAGCAGATGGAACGCTCCAAATTGTCAAAAATTCCTAAGATCTTGGAGCAGGTGGCGAACAATCTGTTCGTTACCAAGCCCGAGCTGGAGGAACAACTTACAGCAACGCTACCTCTACTGCTCTCCCCGCCGACAGCAGATCCAATTCAGCCAGAAATCCAAACACCAGACGCACCGATCACGCCGAAAGTTCAGATACCGTCAGGAGAAAGTGACGCCTGCCAGATTGTCAACGACGGGTACACATCAGGCAGCAAATCCGGGGCGCCCACCACCGACGCCACCAAACTCATGGATAGCATACAGCACCACAACGCCAACTCCGACACTTGCCTGAACAATTTGGTACATGGAGGATCTGAGACGGATACCGATGTCAACACAACAGCCAAGGCAAAACAGAAACGAGAGATTGCTGCCAAGAAATTCATGACCATGAAAAAGGCAGAGCATACTTTCCCCAGGACAAAATTAGATAGCTCAAAATTTGGGGAAATCCTAAAATCAAGGAAAGGTGACGAACGATCTGTTCGTCACAAAACCGGAGGAGGAGGTAACACCTATGACAATGTTACGACCTCACCACCCGATAACAGATCTGAAGAAGACTTTAGTCAGAATCACCTCAACAAGGAGCAGCAGGACAACAGAAATCCTGATTGGCCTAGCACAAGAGCAGCAGGAGACGCCCCACAAGCATAGATCTACAGGCGCTCAAACTGACAACGTGCTGAATGCAACCATACTCGTCGGCAACACCATCTGCAAGACAATAACATCTGGACTCCAGCCATCAACATACAATGACAAAAAGAGGGCAGAAAAAGTTCCGCCATGCAAAAAACAAAGATTTTGGCCCTTTCAATGGATGTGTACAACACAGATGTCACACACGGCACTCCATGGTTGGACCAACTTGAACCGAACCACAGGAACTTCGATGCAAAGGAGATCTGCGTCAAAAAGAGTAGTTACACAGCCTTCAATATCGGAACAGCACTGGCATAACCACAAGCAACGCCTTCAGCACATGGCAACTACCAAGGTTTTCATTATCGGAAATAAAAATTTATCGGAGGTCATGGATAAAGAGGATATAGAGGATATATCGGAAATATCGGACCAAAATTCAAAAAAATTCAAATTGTTTTGAAAAAATTCGTAGAATTTGACTTGAAACTATTCCTAAGCTATTAAACATCACTTGTTCACAGATAAAAACAAGAATAAAACATTATAGTGTGGGACCGTCATGACGCTGAATTTGGGTTGTCGTGTGGGAGCAGGAAAGAAGGAAAAATTTGGCGATGTCAAATTTTATCGGACCTCAATGGATAGAAGGAAAATTTCGAAAATTTCCTTGAATTTCGGCCGATAAAAAAAACCTTGGCAACTACACCTCACCAGCTCCGAAACAACCTAGGTAGCCAGCTACAATATACCCCCACATACATAGATATTACTAATGGGTGAAGGCGAACCCTGCCCTGTTATCAACATCCATGGAACACTGGCAGTTCACCGGAGAGAATCATCCCCAACATCAGACAACACTGACCCCCATAGCTACATCGACTCTCTACAATACCTCGCAGCTATCGCGCTGCAACGACTCATCATGCAACAAGAAGAAATACAGGTGGGAGCCATGGTGCCACATCAGCAGCTACGAGTGCCTCCATCGGACAGCATCATCGCTGACACCAGCATAGGCGGCACCGCGGAACTAGCTTGGTCACTTTACCAAGGAATCATCAACGACTTCAACAGGTACTTCTACTTGCTGGCACCATCACTACCATGGCCGAACTCTCTGGACTTCCTCTTTGCCATTGGGTGAACAAAGACCCAGCACTTCATCACTGAAGGCTTCCACGCTACAACAACGTCAACACTCCTCTTCGCGGAGAACGGCTACTTCAACATACACTACAACTTTGAAGATGCCATTTCATCCTCAACGCCAATGGAGACGTACAGGAGCTGACATGGGCCATGGGAACACGCAACTAATCCGTCTTCAGCCACATCAACAACCTCCAATCCTACTCCAAGCTCATTATCTTCCACACAGAGAACAAGCTGGGGCGCTTCATCTTCAGCATGGAGGTGGCAACCTTTGGAGTAGCTTTCTTACCCAAGCAGCATCATCAACCAAGCAAGAATACAATGCGAGGACGTGATGTGCGGAGAACAGGGAGATGTCATGTGCCTAACTGCTCCCCCCCCCCCCCAGGAAAGCCAGAAAAAGTAGGTAAATAAATTATGTATTTCTTAGATAAAATAGATTGAGATTTTGTTAGAAAGGAAAAATTGTTACTTGTTACGAAAGCAGTCCGAATCTATAAGGGCTCTTTCCGTAGTAGAACACATGCTTTTACTCTGTGGCCAGTGAAAAAAATGAGGTGTTAATGGAAGATATCTCTGTACTAGTGAGGAGAGCCCATGAATGTCTCTGAATCATCATATGGGCTTTGTGTGATACGAAGAGTTGGATATTTCTGGACATCACACAGGTTGTGTATGACATGGAGTAAGGAACAGGTTGCCGACATTAGCCTTCTTAGCACTACCTGTTTGCCTTTTTTATTTTTGGTGTGTTACCTTAATTTATGCTAAAACTGTAGACATCATCTTAGTTCTGGAGAGACCAGGGTACTTTTAGGGTACTTTTAGAATGGTTGTATGATCTTGATGTTCATAGAAGCTTCCTTTATATAAAAATATATTGTTCACAAACTTTGAACAATCCATACTGTGGCTTCATATATATTTGAAGGGACATGCGTGCAATACATATGTGCATACAACTTTTTTTCTTGACTATGCATACAACTAGGTAACCCCGCAAAATACATACAACAGGTACACAAATTCACGGGCAGGCCGTACACTTCAAAAATCATACTAGGCATATCTTTTACAGAGCATCCTGCCTCAGATTATGCGCAGCAAGCGCTTCCAGGTAGTTTCGGAACGAGCATGAGCTTCTCCTTTCGGTGAACCGTCAATCCAAAAACCTCTGTCATATCAATATCCTCCTTGTCCATACCAGCCGGCAGCCCCCAATCAAAACAGTACATGAGGTTTGCCAGCATGATCTCAACAGTGACCAACCCAAAGTTGATGCCAGGGCACATCCTTCGACCAGCTCCAAACGGTATGAACTGAAAATCATTCCCCTTCAAGTCAATGGTCGCGGCGCTACCACCGTCCATGAACCTGTCTGGCATGAACTCCTCCGGTTTCTCCCATGACTCTGGATGTCTACAGACAGCCCAAGCGTTGATGATGACTCAAGTTCCCGAGGGGATTGTATACCCATCGATGTCACAGTCCACCATGCACAACAGGAAACGGCTGATTTGCCGGGAGCAAAAAAATTTGCCGCGTGCTTTTTATCGAGCACCCGGCAAAGGAATTCTTTGCCGGGTGCTAGGCCTGGAGGCACCCGGCAAATAAAGGCCTCCGGCAAAGCATCCTTTGCCGGGTGCTGGCACTCGGCAAATTCTAGCCGTCGGCAAAAAATAGTCTTTGCCGGGTGCCGGGCACTCGGCAAAATATGGCCGCCGGCAAAGGTGGCCGACTTGACGGCGGCCAGCTGCCGTCATCCTTTGCCGGGTGCCACGCCGTTAGGCACCCGGCAAAGAATTTTTTTAATTTTTTTTAAATTTCTTTGCGGGTGCCCCATGATCGGCTTTTGGCAAAGGCTTTTTTCTTGGGCGGCCTTTTTAGTCACGGGCCTTTGCCGGGTGCCGGTGACGATGGCACCCGCAAAGAATTTTTAATTTTTTAATTTTTTCTTTCGGGTGCGGGGTGGCACCCGCAAATTAAATTTTTTTTTGTTTTTTGACCCCATTTTTTGTGGGGACTTGCTACTGTAAATATATCCCTATTTCAAAATTTGGGACAATTATGAGTTTTTAACTATATTTCCTTAATTTTTCCGTTTCATTGAATATTTCAGACTATTCCAAATTTGAACTGCGGTACATGAAATAATGAAATTTGGTCATTCAAAAATAGTATTCATGATATTTAGGCTATGTCCAGGCCGTATGCAGGAAGTGGCATGAAATGTCGCGCATCATGTTGTCGTAACATGACGTATGTACTCATGGGAAGTTTATTTAAATTATATAAAATCCAAACGATGTCCGAAAATCACAAAACTTGTCGATGTGTCTTGTTATCACATGTGGATGCCCCAGTAAAAATTGAGAAAGTTTCGAGCAAGTTGCGACGTCCGCCGCCCGCGCTCAAGGCCTGCGCCTTGGCGCAAATGCCTCTCCAGCGCCTCCGCCCATTCCCGGCGACCCCACGGCTCAAGACGGCCAGCGCCCAGCCTTGTGACATGAGCCGCATACACGCCTGGCGCTTCGCCTCGGCGGGACGATCAAGCGCTCCCGCCCGGATCGAGCCGCCATGGGTTGCTGCCCCCCCCGACGACCCGACGGCTCTCGGGTCTGGCCGGCTGGTCCTGCCTGCGCCCGGCCCGTGACCTCACCACCCACGGCGGCCACGTGGCCCCCCTCGCCGGGCCGTCCTCGACGAGGCCAGCTGCCCGTGGTCCGTGCTGGCTCCTCCGCCGTCGGCCAGCAGTAGAGGAGGTAGGTGGAAGAAGGAGGAGGAAGGAAGAAGAAGAAAAAGAAGGGGGAGGAGGAAGAGGAAAAAAGAGAAGGGGAGGAGGAAGAAGAGGAAGAAAGAGAAGGGGGAGGAGGAAGAAGAGGAAGGTGCCGACCCGACCGCCCGTCGATCCCCGCGCCGTTCCGACCGGCCGTTGATCCTCGCGCTGCTGCGGTCATCCCCGCCGTCGTCACCGGCCCTCGCTCTTGCTGTTCTTGCCGCCAAGGTAAGCCCTACCCTTGTAGTGTTAGTAGTAGTAGTAGTTAGTAGTGTTAGTAGTAGTTAGTTGTAGTGTTAGTAGTAGTAGTTAGTAGTTTTAGTTGTAGTGTTAGTTGTAGTAGTTAGTAGTGTTAGTTGTAGGGTTAGTAAATAGTAGTAGTTAGTAAGTAGTAGTGGTTAGTAGTAGTAGTTGTTAATAGTTAAGTAGTTCTTACTATTAGCATTGTTAGTAGTTAAGTAGTTGTTAGTAGTAGTGTTAGTAGTAGTTGTAGGGTTAGTAGTAATTGTTGTTGTACTACTTCAATACTTTCATGTGCATGGAAAGAGAACTAAAGTACATGGCTCCTCTTTATATATTGGTGGTTGTTGGCCTTCGTGTCCATGTTTGGTATATATGTGGTTGTTGGCCTTCGTGCCATGTTTGGTATATATGTGGTTGTTGGCCTTCGTGCCATGTTTTTTGCAGGTTTTGGGAACCTCCCCATGCAGGGGAGGTGCTGCCGAAATTTTGAGTCGACACTAACCATTTTTGCCCTTTTTTGTAGGAGGACCTGTGGGAGGGACTCGGCGACCCCGATCATCTTCGTCGGCGCTGCGAGTCTTCCTGCACCGCGTCGACTCGCCACTGCACCGACTCTCCACTGCCCCGCTACCCGGACCTCACCGCCACCCTAGGTATAACCCCTCTATCCGTATGTGGTCTTTGGTCGCGTAACCTAGTTAGGTGTCTCCCGTTAGAAAGAGATACGGTCGGAGATATACGGACCTTTGCATATCAATGACCGTATCTATTTTTGGATTGTCCACGCTTTTGGACAGCCAGCGGATGCGTAGTTGAGTTAGTTTTCATGCTCCGCTCTGGTTCGAGGCGGTGTTTGGCATCACCTCTCCGTTGTTCTCCGGATACACACTCTCCCTTGCGGGATGTGTATCGGGAGAATGGCGAGGAGTCTTGCCAAATTCCGTCTCGGATAGGAGCGAGCATGGAAACTAACCTCATCTATTTAACCCGCTGGTGGGATTAGGACCTATCCTCACCTATTAGAGAGTAGGGACACGCGTAGATGCAATTGATGGTCACTGTGGTGATGTTATATATGCTAGAGGATGGAGGACCGTTAGTGGATGTACACGGGCCGGACAAGTCAGGGTGATGCCAGCTATGAATGGATGCAGAAGACCGATCGTTTCTTGAATCGTGCATTTGGCAAGGCCGCAAAATTTCGAAAATGGTTTTGTGTCCCTGCAGCAAGTGTGGTAACAGGAGAATGCTAGACAAGGAACTCATGGGTACACACATCTGCACAAGAATGGGTTTACGCCGAACTACACCCGGTGGGTCCACCATGGTGAAGCCGATCGTATGAGAGAGGAGGTGGTGAGACAACGCGTCGAGGCTTTTGATGCCGATCTTTGGGGTAGAGACATGGTAGATGACATTCACCAAGCACGCTTTTTTGAAGGACGTGAGGAGGCGGAGATGCTGGCGATCGTGAGATGCGTTCAAGTACATGATGGACTCGGCACGAAACCCCTTCACGCTCATTACGAGGTCTCCCAAATTTGGATGCCATAAGTCGCTTGATGGGGTTGAAGTCCGATTTAAACCGGAGTCGAGAAGGCTTCGATAAGGTGTTGACCGTGGTTGGCACCGCTTCCAAAAACCACGTGTTGAAGACCATGTACGAGGCACACAAGCTCCTTAAAGCAATGAAGATGCCATATGAGCGAGATACATGCTTGTCCGAACGGGTGTGTCCTATTTCGGGAAGAACTCAAGGAGGCAAAGTCTTGTCAAGAAGTGTAAAGCCTCCGTGTTCACGGAGGTAGAGTCCGTGTGACGGTGGTGGCGGAAGACCCGACTTAAGATACCCGCCGAGTCTCACGTCACCTTCCCTTCGTGCCGAGGATTCAAAGGCTATTCATGACCGAGGAAGCAATGAAAGCAGATGACGTGGCACAAGAATGGCAAATGCTACCATCCTGACAAGATGGTGCATCCATCTGATGGTGAAGCATGGACCAGCTTTAATGACAAGCATCGTCTGAAATCCGATGAGGCTCGTAATGTACGTGTCGCGCTGGCAACAGATGGGTTCAATCCTTATGGCATGATGTCTGCCCCTTACACATGTTGGCCCATGTTTGTTATCCCCCTCAATCTCCCCCCTGGCGTTGCCTTTCAACGACATAACATGATCTTGACGTTGATAATTCCCGGGCACCCAGGGAGTAAGATGGGTGTGTTCATGGAGCCTGTGATTGATGAGTTGATCAAAGCTTGGAATGAAGGGGTATGGACATACGACCGAGCTACAAAGGAAAGCTTCAAAATGTACGTCTGGTACCAGTACTCCATGCATGACTTCCTGGTGTATGGGTTATTCAGCGCCTGGTGTGTTCATGGGAAGTTCCCATGCCCAATATGCTAGGAAGCTGTGAGGTTCATTTGGTTGAAGAAGGGTGGTAAGTATTCGTCGTTCGATCAACATCGTCAATTCCTAGATTCCAACCATCCATTCCGACAGGACACCAAGAACTTTAGGAAAGGTGTCGCAGTCATGGACCCTAGACCGCACTTGAAGACTGGTGCCGAGGTTCATGCTCAGATAGATGCTCTCTTGCCCAATGAAGAAGGTGGTTTTGTGGGATATGGTGAGCAACACATGTGGACTCATAAGTCCGGCTTGACGAGGCTCCCCTATTTCGATGACCTCCTACTGCCCCATAACATTGATGTAATGCACACTAAAAAGAATATCGCCGAGGCACTTTGGGCAACACTCATGGACACTGACAAGTCTAAGGACAACCCTAAGGCTAGAGTGGACCTGGCGACGTTGTGCGATAGACCACAGCAAGTGATGCGGCCTCCTGCAAACGGCAAGAACTAGAAAAGGCCTAAGGCCGATTTCGTCTTGAAAACCGAACAAAGGAGGAAGTACTACGATGGATCAAGGCGTTAATGTTCCACGATGGGTATGCGGTGAACCGAAAGGCGGGGAGTGAACTTAGGCACTATGCGAGTCAACGGCATGAAGAGTCATGACTACCACGTATGGATTGAGCGGCTTCTTCCGGCGATGGTATGAGGCTACGTTCCTAAGCATCTCTGGCTAGTGCTGGTAGAGTTGAGCTATTTCTTCTGCCAGCTTTGTCCCAAGGAGCTATCTCGGACCGTGGTTGCAAACTTGGAGAAAGTGGCACCTGAGTTGCTTTGTAAGTTGGAGAAGATCTTTCCACCCGGCTTCTTCTTGTCGATGCAGCATTTGATTGTGCACCTCCTGTATGAGGCACGTATGGGGGGGCCGTCTGCAGGCTCTGTTGGTGCTACCCAATCGAGAGATGTCCTGAAGGCCGTTCATAAAAAATG